GAACGCTTCCTTGGCTTGTGGAAGCACGAATGCACCCGTGTTTTGGCAGACAAACTGTGCCGGAAGATCGATAAAGACCTTGTGGAAAGGGCGATTAATGATGCTTGCACTAAGCACTTTGGCGTCACGCTACAAAAGAGCGTCTCCGAGACACTTTGGTAATTCTAAGTCCCAGCCTCACTGCCCCCAATGCAGGCATTTACAAAACCCACCCGGAATGCAGCCCAAGGCCTGAATAAATGTAATTCAAGTATCATCAGGACAGCTGAGTAGCTTTCCGCGTATTTTAACCTCTACACAACCTCCAGCAAGCCTCCAAACAGCAGCGTTCACCGTCTGAGTTGCTTGCAGGTTCGCTGACTTCCTCCGGGAGCCGCAGGAAGATGAATCTGGGGAGCTCATGCCTGCACAGAAGGTCTATGAGCCTGTTCCTAATCTGCAGTTGGTCCGAACACGAGCAATGGAATACCTACAGAGATATAACGAGCAAAATCCCGCCAAGGCAGCCAATTTGGTTTTATTCGATGATGCCCTTGCTCATCTGATGATCATTTCACGAATCATCCAGGTGGGGTAAACATGTTTGGCAGATAAATAGGCTGAATTCCGAAATAGTAGACATAGTGTTTGTTCTCTTGCTGCATCAGGAACAGCCTAGTGGTAATGGTGTTTTCAGATGCCGCGTGGATCAGCAATGCTGGTAGGCGTTGGAGGCTCTGGAAAGCAGTCGCTGACTCGTTTGGCCTCCTTTATCGCCGGTCATGACCAATTCCAAATCGCAATTACCAAGACGTACAACGACAACGCCCTATTTGACGATTTCCGGAGCCTGTACATAAATACTGGTCAAAAGAACTTGCATACGACATTTATTTTGACGGACCTTGAAATAAAGAGCGACGGATTCCTCGAATACTTCAACTCTTTCTTGTCCACTGGGGAAATCTCAGGTCTTTTCGCCAAGGACGAAATGGATGGTATGTTCTGCGACATCTACAATAGCTTTCAAGCCCCCAATCTGCAATTTACGGTTCGAACCTTCGCCTCCACGTTTATCTTCCACATTCATGGCCTTTGAGGTGATCTCTTCCCTGGATGAAAGGGTGCGTTAAACATATCATGTGCATGCATCTAACTGGCATTTTTTTTGAGTGTCTCAGCGATGGTAGCTGACAGAAGAGCAGACTTCGTCAAAGAGTGTCCCCACTTGGAAGAGACCATGACAAATATGTACAACTTCTTCCTAGACCGCGTTCGGGCAAACTTGCACGTCGTTCTTTGTTTCTCTCCACTCAGCAAAAAGTTTTCAGGTCAGTTGTACTGCTGTCTGTTAAAGCAGAAAGTAGAAAGTGGAAGCAGACAGCGGATGGTTGCGTCCTGGCAAAAGTTCGTTTCAGTCTCAAGCAATACTGTTCGCAGCCTGGCCTCATATACCCCATGAAGCAAGATGTGTTTTTTTAACTTTAAGGCTTCCTAATAACTTCGTTTTGTGGGTGTCAGAGAGGGCGCAAAAATTCCCTGGGCTTTTCAGCTGCACAACAATTGATTGGTTTCTACCTTGGCCGGAAGCAGCCTTAGTTGCGGTTTCATCAAGCTTCTTGGATAAATTTGAAATTGATGCAAGTTCTGAAAAGAAGGGTGTTCTGTACAACGTCATGGGCAATCTGCACAACAATGTAAGCGGCAGTACATCAGTTCCACTGTGAGGTTGTTCCTAGGGCTCTGAGAGGACAACTTCCGCCTGGCGTCACTTTATCTTAAAGTGTAGGGCTTGCGCTTACGACATTAGTCTCATGGGCAATCGCGGACTCTTTTGTACAGAGCACTCAAGTGAAGTTGTGCATGCATTTGCTTGCTCCGGGGTTTTAGGTTAATAGAATTTGCGACGAGTATTTTAGGCGCATGAGACGGCGAGTATACGTCACGCCAAAGTCCTACCTCTCCTTCATTAATTTCTACAAGAAGGTTTACACTGAGAAGTTCTCTGAAGTTAACAATCTCGAGCGCAGGTAGGAGCTCAACTTGCTCGTACCATGATCACTGTTGGTGCGACTTCTCACCGGATGAAAAGTCGCGTTATTTGAGTTCTTGTAACGACGATTCAGCGTCAATGTCGGGTTAAAGAAACTCAATCAAGCTGCTCAAGACATAAAGCAAATGAAGGTGCAGCTAAAGGCTGAAGAGAAGAAGCTTCAGGAATCGGAGGTTCAAACAAATCAGCTTTTGGCCAAAGTCCAGAGCGAGTCTGCAAAGGCGGAGAAGAAGAGCCAGGGAGTACGTCTCAGCAAATCTGGGGTGGCAAAATAGTTTGAGTATGGGTCCGCCGATAAGTTGCAAAAGGTTGTTGACCTAGTTACTTCTGCAGGAGTCTGTTCAAAAGGAATTTTGAGGTGCCCATGAGAGTTATATCTGCGATAACCTTCTGCAGGTGGCAGCTTTTCGTGATGAATGCCTTAAGAACAAAGAGGAGATTCAAAGGGAACAAGAAGAGGCTAACAATGACTTGCAGGCGGCTTTGCCCTATCTTCGTGAGGCTGAAGACGCAGTCAAATCAATCACTGCAAAGGATATAGTTGAGCTAAAAACGATGAAGACACCCTCAGATATTATCCGCCTTGTTTTCGACGGAGTTCTTATCCTCTTACAAAATCGGCTGGCAGACGTTAGGGCAGAGTCGAAGGTGATAAACAAGAAACAAATTGACTTCATCCATGATTCCTTTGACGAAAGCGCAAAAGCGATGATGGCAGATGTGCACTTTCTATCCAACCTCTTTGATTTCTCCAGGGTCAGTTCACTCACGTCCTTACGCGCGTCTCCGCTGCCAATAATGTGCTGTAGACGGAGACCAAAAAAATTACCTTGGGGAGAAAACGAATCTTTATGCTTTCTTTTTCCGCTCCTGCTCATTGTGCGTTTTGTTGGAATAGAAAGAAAAGGACAATATCAATGACGAAACATGCGAGCTGTTGTTACCCTACCTAGAAGTTGAGCATTTCAATCCAGCAGTAGCTAAAAAAGCCTCTAACGCTGCTGAAGGTGAGAATTAGATTGCATCCCTCGGGAAAGGATGGCGGTGCTGATGGCCCAAAGAATCTCTTAAGTTGAATCACTGCCTACTTGAAGCACTGGCCACTCTGAACGTGATACCACCTCATTTTGAACTTCAACAATGTCTCCGCAGCTACATTATTCTATTCAGGTTTGTGCAAGTGGGTTGGAGCCATGGTGATGTATCATGAAGCCGCGAAGATTGTCAAACCTAAAATGGATTATTTGACTGTCCAGACTGCAAGGTACATCACTTCAAATGCGCACTACCGAGCTTCAAGCGTTCAGTGATTGAATGAGGCTCTCTGGCAACATTGAAGGGCAAAGCAAACTCTAGAGCTCCAGATAACTTGGGTTTGGTCTCCGTATGCGTCACTGGGCAGAGTTGAGGCCGCTTTGCGCCAATTAAGCGAAGCAGAAGAGGAACTCAGAAAGGCTCAGGCCGTGTTGGATGAAATCAACCGTCAGTTTCAACAGGCTCTTGCGTCGAAACGAGAACTGGAACAAAGGGCCCAAGCAACTAAACGTCGTATGGAACAGGCGAACAAGCTCATCAACGGACTTGCAGGAGAGAAGGCTCGATGGTTAGTACACACTAATGAAAATCACTTGCAGTGCTCTTTACTCACGAGTAATTCCTGTCACTGACCTCGAGCAAAACTCCTGCAATGTCTGCAGGACCGAAGATTCAAACACGTTTGCAGAGCGGAAAAAAAAGCTGATTGGTGACATCTTGGTGGCGGCAGGTTTTGTATCTTACTGCGGCCCGTTCAACGCTGAGTACAGAGAGCTGCTCAGAAAGCAGTGAGTCCGCGGAATTTGCACTACAAAAGTTCGCCTATCACAAATATGCAGGTCTTCCTGTAGTTGTCAGAATTTGCACTAAAAAAGTTCGCTGGCGACAACTATGCAGGTCCTTCCGTAGTTTCCTTAAGCGCATCGATTAGGCGATGCAAAATTGTAGTGGCAGGAAATATGGGGGTCGTCTCCTTGTGTTTTGGAGATGCATGGAATAGGTATGCCTCGATTCCACGAATCCTGCCATGCTGCACGAGTTGTTGTACGCTGTCAGGATCATATTACAAGATGCCAAGAACAGCGGCATTCCATGTTCTGACTCCCTCGATATTGTGGATCTTCTTGTAGACGAGGGGACACGCGGCGAATGGAACTTACAAGGGCTGCCTGCAGACGAATTATCGGTGGAGAATGCCATCATCGTAACCAGGTCAGACAGATACCCCCTCTTGGTAGATCCTCAGGGACAGGCTCACAGCTGGTTAAAAAAAAAAGAGGAAGAGAGGATGAAAGGGTCTCGTCAATGCATAACAACTGCGACAGATCCCCGGTGAGCTGGGTGGGCAGCATTGTGCTCCTGATACTTTCGTTGCACAGGCAAACACATGCATTTTGATCACCATACGAGCACGCTGTTTTTCCTCAAGTCACTTGACGCTGCTGGCGTAAATTTTTGTATACACATAGTGTTCAGGAGCCTAAAAGTAGGCATAACCGCAGTGTGTTTAGTATTCTCAATTTTGATCAGGTTTAAGGATAAGGTCGAATTCTGCATGGCAGAAGGGCTGCCACTACTTGTCGAAAACCTTGGTGACGCTGTCCCGGAGGTTCTTGACCCGATCCTTGAGAAACAACTCATTAAAAAAGGCAAGAGGCTTTATGTGACATTCATGGACCAGCAAGCGGAATACAATCCAGCTTTTGTCCTCTACATGACAACAAAGCTCGCTAATCCTCATTTTCCTCCAGAGATAAACGCGAAGTGCACGGTGATAGACTTCACTGTCATGCATGAAGGTACGTTTACAGAGGTGATCGCAGCTCTTTTCCCGAAAGTCCGCGGATTCTAGCTGACGTCACGGAATTGCACACTTGAGCGAGGATGTTTATACACAGGTCTCGAGCAGCAGCTGCTTGGGCGTGTTTTGTCCATGGAGCAGCGCGCACTAGAAGAATCGCTCAATCAACTTTTGGAGTCGCTAACGGCAAACACAAAGGCATTGAAAGAATTAGATAGCCAGCTTCTTGATCGTCTTTCCCATTCCTCTGGCAATCTGTTGGATGATCTGGAACTGATTGAGGTGCTTGCGAATACCAAGGCAAAAGCAAAAGAAGTCGAGAAAAAGCTCAAGGATGCACAGGAAAAGAAAGCAGAGGTAACGCTTAGACGGCAGGAAAAAAAATCACAACAGGTTTTACCCTCGACAAAACAAAATAACGTGCCGAGGACATACAACATTTTATTTGGAACCAACAAGCAGGAATGCGTAGGATTTTGTGCCGTCTGGTGAATAGAGATGTACAACAAAGCCCTCAGGAGGCACTGTTCTGTTCAGATTAACGAGAAACGCGAACAGTATCGCTCCGTGGCAACAAGAGGATCCGTACTATACTTTTGCATGGTGGAGGCCTCTTTGATATGCTGGATGTACAACAGCTCCCTCACGCAGTTTCTGGAGCAATTCGATATCTCTGTCTATAGGTCTGAAAAGACGCAGCCAACCCATAAGCGCGTGGAGAAGATAGTTGAGTACCTTACTTACCAGGTGAGAACGGCATGCAAGCCTAAGTTGCCAAGATAGCTTGCTGTTGTCTTCTACAGCTGATGGTTATTGCTGTAGTCCAAAGGGTGTCTCTAAAGCGCCTTTTCGCTTCTGTTGACTCTCATAAGCTTGAAGCTCTTCGGATTCCGTGGCACACGACAAGACGTATGCGCAAGACTCCCCTGTTTTTGATACGGTTGTACAGAAACGTCTGTAAAGGATTTTTCAAGCTGCACAAAGATACGTTTCATATAATGCAGGCTTTGAAAAGTTTGTGCACTGATTTTGTGCGTCAGTCGTTTCGCATTGCCTGGCTTTCGTTACTTTCGACACAGGTCTACAGATACGTCTGTAGAGGACTTTTTGAGCGGCACAAGCAGACTTTTGTCATGATGCTAATTTTAAAAATATTGCAAACCGATGGTATTCTCCAGTCTTCAGATATTTCCTTTCTTCTAAGCGGCGGCGCAGGTGAGCTTTACGTTGTTAAGGACTGCCAAAGTATTGGCACTTTCGTTGGCCGCTTGTACTTGACACTCGCCACGGAATCGTCTGATCCTTTTGAGAATTTTCGTTTCATTCATCCCTACAATTTTACCAAGAGTATACGGAACTTTCTTGCGACCATTTACAATACTGTATACAGGCCTTGATGAGAAAGCAGAGCCGCCATGTCCCTTCAGATGGCTAGGGCAAGACTCAAAGGCGTGGCTCAACGTCTTGCAAATCTCCAGGACATGCTTCGGCCGAGACCAAATTCAGCTCTTTTGCGAACTTCCAGAGTCCCTCGGGAAAAATGAATCAGCATGGAAAAAGTGGATGGAAGACAACGAACCCGAAAATCTTCCCATTCCAGATTATGAAGACCGACTGAAATGTTTAAAAAACCTCGGGCATGTTCTGAGGCTGTGCCTAGTAAGCTAATGCGAGCATTGCCACCAGTATAGCCAGCAGGTATTCACAGTAGCCTCAAATTTATCAATGTGCAGCATCAAACACGACGCCTTCAAAACACTGACGTTCTCCAGAATGTATTCGCAGATTCGCTCCATGAGACCCGATCGAACCGTGGTGGCATCGGCGCGTGCTATTGATCAGCTGCTGGAGCCAAAATATACAGAGCCTGTTACAGATTCCGTGGAATCAATATGGCAAGAATCATCGTGTCGCGTCCCCGTTATATTTCTGCTGTCCCCCGGCACCGACCCCACATCGAGCATTGACGAGCTTGCAAAAAAGAAGCGAAAGTTTCCGACGGACAAAGTTTCGATGGGTGAAGGACAAGACGTCGTTGCACGAGAAAAAATCAAGTCCGGTTTCCTTTCCGGCAGTTGGGTTGTTCTGCAAAATTGCCACCTAGGGTTAAATTTCATGAGCGAAATCGAGGACCTTCTTCTTAGGGTCACTGATATTAACAAGGCAAGTTCCCCAGCAGGTACCCACGGGAAAGCAGGCATAGTTGCTGCAGGCAATCCCCTCCCGCACCATTCCTGTGAGATGGGGAAACACGCATCTTATGGCCTGCCGATACCTAGTTTATAATCACTATGCTCGCGATTTCACTCCAATTTTCTTCCAGGACTTCCGCCTATGGATAACGTGCGAGCCTCACAATAAGTTTCCTATAGGGCTTCTACAGCTGGCGATCAAAGTCACTAACGAGTCACCCATCGGACTCAAGGCTGGGCTTGCAAGAAGCTTCACGACAATGATAACACAGGAAACGCTGGACAAAGTCAATAATGAGAAATGGCGCACTATTGTATTTGCCCTTGCAATGCTGCATAGCGTTGTTCAAGAAAGGAGGAAATTCGGCCCACTGGGTTGGTGCATCCCGTACGAATTCAACTACTCCGACTTGGAGGCATCGCTGTTCGTTGTGGAAAAGCATCTCGCAGCCACAATTTTAGTAGGGCAGCCGCTTTCCTGGTCCACTATAGGGTACATGGTTGGGGAGGTGCAGTACGGAGGACGCATCACAGACGACCTGGACAGAGAGGTAACGTTTGTAAAATAGCTGCGTCTAAAACCGACGCAACATAAAAGAGCATGACGGGACGGTTTCGCTGGTGGCCAATGGAATTGTGTGTGTGTGTGTGTGTGTGTGTGTGTGTGTGTGTGTGTGTGTGTGTGTGTGTGTGTGTGTGTGTGTGTATGTGTGTGTGTGTGTGTCTGTGTGTGTCTGTGTGTTTGTGTGTCTGTGTCTGTGTCTGTGTGTCTGTGTGCCTACGGTCAGATGTTCAACACTTACACAGGGAAATGGCTGACAGACGACTTATTCAAGTCCGGTTTTTGCTTCAATAGTGCGACTTCCAGTGCTCATGATTTCATGTACAAAGTTCCTCAAGGCACGGATATCTCAGTCTTCCGTGACTACATCAACACGTTGCCTTATGTAGATCAGCCGGGAGTTTTTGGCCTGCACGTAAATGCTGACCTGACATTTCGCTTACAGGAGTCGGCCTCCATGCTCGATACTATACAAGTGGGTCAGATTGTGCAGGGCATAACAATTAACCTGCGCTTTTGCGGAAGGTCCTCAGGATTCATGCTAGCCGAATGCATTGGTCAGCATTTATCCGAGCTCATAAGGCATGACCTGCTTAATATTTTGCTCAGGATACACTTCCAAAAGCTTCTTCGGGAGGCAAAGGAAAGTCACAGGAAGAGACTGTGCGCGAGAAATGCGTTGAAATGCTAGGCAAGATGCCGGAAGACTTTCAAGAAAGGGTTTACAGAGAGCAGGTGTCCAAGCTTTCTGGACCTCCTGCGCTGAACGCAAAGGGATTTGCTGCGCCTTTAAACATTTTCCTTTATCAAGTTAGCTACGCTCCCTAGACATGTTTTGACCGAAAACAGTTCTAGCATATCTAGAAGTTGTGTTTTACTTCATAAAGCAATCAATATTTACCTATGCCGAAAGCGTGTGATCTACTTATACTTTAGAGTCATGGCGGCATGGAACTCGCAAAGCTGTTTTCAGAGGTGCCGTATTCTTAGGAAGTGCAGCGAATGCAACGGATTTTGACTATCGTGCGCGCCAATTTGTCCTCGATTATCAATGCGATTGACGGTACTGTCATCATGACTCCAGATTTGCAGGTGCGTATGGTGCTTCGTCGGGCAACTGCAAGCTGCCTGCAGAGCATCCAATCTCCAAATAAAGTGTGTTCAGCTTCCCGCATGCAATGCTATTAGCACGAAGCAACCGGAGGTCTTGCAACGAGATCGTGTATAGAAGCATTGCGATTGTTTTTCAGGATGACGTGACTGCCATTTTCGATTTGCGGGTGCCGCATCGCTGGATGAGAGACCCAAGTGGCGCGGAAATATCGTGGCTGTCGCCCACGCTCGGGAAGTGGTTTTCAGGCATGCGGCTAAGAGTTGAACAGCTATGCAACTGGCTTGAAAAAGGCAGACCCAAATCATTCTGGCTAGCAGGCTTCTTCAACCCCACGGGTTTCCTTACAGGAATGATGCAGGAAGTAGGTAACTGCGTCTTTAGCACAGATTGCTGCCAAAGTTCTAAAACCTATGCTCAGACATTAACAACTGCCATGTCGTTGCGTGCAACTGCTCAGGTTACACGACAACACAAAAAAGACCAGTGGGGACTTGACGACGTTGTCCTGCACTCCGAAATGCGGACCGTCGATGTTGAAAAAATCAAAGACATTCCAGATGAAGGGGTCAACATTCATGGTTTGTATATTGAAGGATCCCGGTAAGGAACTTGCCTCCGGCAGCCGTTGGCGGCCAACAGCAGTCGGATAACTAATCACAATCGCATGGATATTTACAAGCGAAGCAGACTGAGTAGTCATATGAATGCATATTCACTCTCCAACTGCAGGTGGAATTGGCACGAGGCCAGGCTGGAAGAGTCTTTGCCTAAGGTCATGGTTGACAGGATGCCTGTTGTACATGCTACGGCAATTACTTCTACTGAAAAAAGGAACAAGGGCCTAGATTACGGACAGTTTGAGCCGTATGACTGCCCAGTGTACAGGTATCCAAGTAGGACAGATAAATATTTGGTCTTTCGTGTACAGTTGCGCTCGGACTTGCACCCATCTCACTGGAAACTCCGAGGTACTGCCCTACTTTGCTCTACAGAGTGAATGGCACGACTGACTTTCCCGAAAATCGATTCACTTTTTTGTACCACTGATATACAGCTGTGGCACATAGTTGTAGAGGCTACGTGCCTGCTTTACTATTTCCTGTGCGGCTAAGCTATTTTAGCAATGGCAGTTGCCTCAGTATTATGAAATAGACCGTCTAAAGCTTCCTACGAGCTCTTTAGCTCATGATATTCTCACACTGATATGACACCTCTGTGGATTACAGCAGAGACTCAACCATCGTGCTCAGTGCAACCGCCACAGGTAGCTAACACGATGTCTTTCACTAACACGTGCTTGAGGTCTTTATATGGATAACAGATGAGCTAATGAGGTAAAGGAAGGTGCAGCTCTCTGGAATTGAAGCCTTTCAGGCTGTGAGCCTGACAATAGTTTGCAGTAGTGATTCCCCTCACAAGTACTTGAACAGTGAGGTTGCACACTAATCTATTGTTATTTCCAGCGCGAAAACATTACCGTAAGCAAGTTAGTTGGGTTCCCACGGGCTATGACGCTAGGAATCTTGGCTCCCCGCTCATGCGCAGGCGCCTGAGTTGTATATCTGAAACCTTTCGCTAGCATGTTAAAAATGTTCTTCTATAGGTTGGAAGCCAAAACTTTCCATTACAGAGCTCTTAAGTGCACATATGTACCAAGGATTTTCTGCCCATATGTCTACACTGCTTGGCGCAGCTCAAGCACTGAGTTTTGTAGAGCTGTCGTCAATATTGCCTTTGCTTCAGGTGCACGGTTTAGCAGTATCTGAGGTGTTCTCTCCAGATCATTACTGCCTGATTGCACTTGCCAATAGCCCCACATGAATAGTGCGGACCCTGCTAGGCCGTATGGTATCCTGTCCCGCTAGATTGGAGAGATTTAATATGGAAGTTTGGTGTTTAGGCGTTTTTTTTCGGTGAAAATGATTGTACAAATTTGGTATTCGCACAGCCTGGATTGTGAAAATTTAATTTATAGGTTTCCAATTTCGTCTTCAAGCAGAAAAAGAAGCACAACCCCCCAGAATGCAGCCGGTCTAGAATCCCTTCGCCACTGGAGCACATGCTAGTGAACGGCAGCGCACCGTTGTTGCAGAACCCATGAATACCAGTGTTAATGTGTGATATTCTGGCATGAAAATTAATTCCCGCAACTATAATGCACCGATGAAGAGTAATAAATAACCGCTGCGTCGATTACCGAAGTGCTGCGTTTTTCAAGATGCAAATAATTGTTGCAGTTCGACAACAATTTCACCGTAAAATAAATGCAGCAGCCCGGTGTTAGAGGAGGTAAAACAAGTTTCTCGTTCCTTGACTGTTGATACAGAGCAACTGAGCGTTCTGCTAAGCCGAACCCATACTCAAGTAGCGCAATACAGCAATGGGACTGCAGTTGGCTATTTCACTTGAAAGATACATAGATATCATCGGGCTCATGCGAGGGAAGCTAAAAAGCACATAGGTGCATGAATGATCTCTGCTTTTGTCATGCAAGGTCATCTAGGTGAGCGACAACGGTTTAGCCAATCACATATAGTCAACCGTATATGCAGCACAGTCATATGTGTTTTCTTTTGCCTTTGTCATCGGACCAACAAAAGAGGACAGTTGAAAGAATTCTTGGCAGACGAGGAATAAATGCGAGCAACTGGCCGATACAGGAATATTTAGGGAGGGAAAATGGCAGCCGTTGTATCTGCAGTAAGCTTAACTAAACAGGCATACAATGGGGGAGCTTTCAGCCATTTTATGGGGCTAGCTGGGGGGATATGTATAACTTCATGTGGGAGGTCTACCAGCACCCGAAATGGAGGGGCAGAGTACCTGAAGGCTACTTCATGATGATTTCCTGGGTGTTTGGCTATGGCTCTTGCTTATAGCAGAGCTTCGCGTTCGGTCATCAATAGGCGTTTGAAGCTCATGAAATACACTCATTGTGGCTCTGTGACTAAAGGAAATCCTGACCTCCAATTCTCGCCTAGAACAACTAGCGCTTTCGTATGCATGCAAATGTAGCGTCAAATGTACCGTCCTTATCCGTGGAATAGACGACAGCTATAGCTTCATTTTAACATTGACATTTCAAGTGTGTAGAGTCTGGTGTGCTTATACAGAGTACATGGGTTATGTTCGAGCCACGCACCCTTAGGGATTCCGCAGTGCAGGGACACTGGGCGCAAGGGACACCGCCAACCGCATTTTGTAGTAACAAGAAAACTTCATGAAGGACGTGGAAAAAGAGCATTTGCAACTCTCCGGAAATCTCCTAGTTCCCCGAAACAAAGTCGGGAGAAAATGCTGCATGAAGGCCGAGGGCCTCCGTGGGGTCCACTATGCCAGTGCGTAGCATTTTCACGCAAACTCATGCCACGAGTAACAACAGACATCAAAAAATCCTCGCCACTGCATTCGACTGCTATGCGAGGCAGCCATAGGTCTCGGCGTTCATGGCAACATGCGCAGCTTGTGGGACCTTGGAGAGCTGTAACAGAAGCTGGCACCATAGTGACAGCAGCATATCTTGGAGTCTCCGGAGAGGGAGCGAGTTGCATTTCACCGCAATGTATGGAACCACAGGCTCACCCCAAGTGCAATAGGTGTTTACAAGTTCCTTAACGGGCCGATTCTTCCTCGTTGGATGCCTCACCATCATGACTCTCCCGTGCGTAAAGGGCCCGGGATGCTAAACAGTTTAAGAGAACGCAAGAGAGCTCCATTACCAGAAGACTTTGCATCGTTGGGTCATTTGAACAACAAAATGTTCTGCATGCACCGCAGGGGGTACACAGCAGAATAGTTAGCAGAGCAGCTCAAACTCTGTGGAGCTATTTGGTGCGCAACTAACACAATAGGCCGTCAACCCGTCCTGTGCAGCTGTGTCTGGAAGCTCCTATGGCAACATTAGGGTTTGAGCCAGCCCAAGGAATGAAGAGCACAAAAATAAACTCGTTGAAGAAAAGTGGGGAACTAGTGGTGAGCACTGCGTTTACCTGGTTGGGTTACCCGTGTGCCCTGGAGTGTACATCTGACCTCTCATTGGGAATACCAAAGTAAAGTGCGTTCTTTTAATTGTTTTCATTGACTAGGGTTTCGAGTCGCGGGACGAGCAATAGTTAGACTCAAGAAGCCCAGCTCAGGCAATGCCGCCAAGCAACCGCGGCTGGATTGTAACCTATTTCTTTGGGGGGAGCTAGCGCGGCTCTCCTTTCACTCACCGTAAATAATTTATTGTTATTCGTCTTTTTGAAACACTAGAAGTTTACCGCATTCACGCCAGAGCATTTCTGTTTAGCTGAACGTAAACCCGAACACTAAAGGCTGAACACTGAGCGCCAATACTTGATTCGGCTGGTTGAATTTAGTTAACGGCCTAACTTACTACGTTCTGTTGCGAGCACACAAAAATTTTGAGCAGTAATACTTATGCAATGCATATCCAACCTATATTGTTTGGGGTTAGAGTTTATGAACTCAGCAATCGTGCACGGTCATGTTGCTTACCGCTGAAATGTCAGGGCCAAAGCACTAAACCTCACACGTAAGCCATGCGACTAAACAAGAAACCTTCAAAGCTATAGCCAAGACCCTCTAACCATAGACCCTACACTAGACTCCGGGACTCCAAATTCCCAAACCTGAACACTAAACCCTCAAACTCACATGCTGAATTCACAAACATAAACCTTAAGCAATGTAGGTTGGCTACGCAATGCAGATATTTGACCGCCCGAAATCTGTGTCTGCTCATAATAAGTTAGGACATTAACTAAAGTCAACAGGTCTAATTCAGCATTAGTCACCTACCGTGAACAATAAATTGCTCGTTAACAACTTTATAATGAGTATATGCGTGCAATATGCATATAATTCCCAGAATGCACGTCTAATAATTGCATGGCTGAGCCGTCGAGGGCCAATGCACGTTGCGAACGCCAGATGGAAGCGTCAGGGCCACATAAAAGCTCACCATATTCTGAAAAGCTCAAATCCCTAATTTTAGCAGCGAGAAATTCACGAGAGTCTGCAGAGCCCTCAATGCGGCAACTGCATGTGGTGCCCCAACCACTTCGCGCTAACAAACAACGAGCTATAAACTTTAGCTCGTTGCAGCATCATCGGGGTGTTCATGGGGTCAAACGGGAACCGTGTATACAATGAATGGAAACTGTGAAAATCAGCTGGCTCATAATTTAGCTTAGAATTCGTGGTTTGGCTCAGATGCCAACGGGGGTTCGTTTCGAATGTGCAGCTTCAGGCACCATGACAAATCAAAGGGAACTGTAGGTAACATTTTATCAGCTAGTCAGCAAAGGACATGAAACGCAGCGTGAACAGGAATAAATATGTTAAGTGTCACAGGTGCAGCAGCAAGACTAATTAATTAACTGTTTGGCAACTACTCCTTGGTAAATGGAACGTTGAGCGTACCAATGTGGGAGAAAACTGGTACTCAGTGTTCAGTTAATCAGTTTTCCAGTACTGAAGAACTAACAAATGAAATAACTGATCAGCTAAAAATATTATAGTAGTATCTAATTCATTTTTCAATTTATCTGACAGCTTTACAGCTCCTCGAATTTGTGAGAAGTAGGGAGGGATGAAACAGACAATGCAGAGCAAATGCAAAAGCGAAGAAGCATGTAACTAAAACGAAATCAGTGTGGATAAAATACGTAGTCTCTGCCTCCTTTTGGTTCACTCCTCTTTCTTTTGCATGAAGTTTTGCCCCTGTTTTATTTTTTACCTGCTACGCCATCAGTTGTTTCGGTTTTATCTTTTCTATCCTTTTCCCTTTTGATTTACTCTTGCTTTTTCCTGATTCAGTTTTTCCCCTTCTAGTTTATTTTCCGCTGAAGGGACTGCCATTTGTTTCTTGTCTTGTGTCTCCTTTTGATCCATTGGTTTTTCTTTTTGATGTACTTTCGTGCCCGTTCGCTGCACCTTTTGTTTCGTTTTCCATATTGTTTCTCTTCTGCTTCAATCGTCTGCACACATGAA